CGCACGCCGCCGTGAGAGCGGGGCGCCCCGGGGTGCAGGGCCTCTGCCTTTGCTGGGGGCCCAGAGGCGCAGCAGGGCCATCGCTCCGCACCCCGGTCACCGCTGCTACCCCAGGGACCCACGCAGCTCGCCCTGCGGCCCAGGGGCTGAGCGTGGGGGGTCCTGCCCCAGGCTGTGCCCCCCGTGTGTCCCCGGGGCTGGGGTTCCCAGGAGCTTGAGGAGCACAGTGCTTGCAGGCAGAGGGGCGATGGGCGTGGGAGGGCGATGCAGCGGGTAGGGCAGAGTTGGGGGGACATCACCTGCTGTTGTGCCCCCCACAGCCTGGCACCCACCGTTTGCCCCAGAGCTGTTTTCTTTTTTTCCCTGCAGCTGCTGGCTGTTTGGGTTTGGGGTGGGAGGTGGTGCTGGTGGCTGCCCAGCGGGGTTGGAGGGGGCCACGGGGTGGTGACAAGGACCTTGGTGGGAGATGGGGCACGAAGGGCGCCTGGGGGCCACGGTGGGCTGCAAACACCTCCTCAGACTACGCGCACCACGTAGGCACCGGCTCATCTTGCTCCATGACCGTGCGGAAATGCAGCCAGCGGCAACGCCTCGGGTCTCAGCTGTGCCACCGGGCCCTGGGGACACGGAGCCTGGCAGCGTCCCCACAGCCCCAAGCGGGGTGACAACTCGGCTGCCCCACAGGGGATTGCCCACATCCATCTGTGGCGTGTCCCAGCTCAGCCGCCCCCTGCCCACCAGTGTCTGTGTGTCACGGGGTGGAGGGTGTCCCCCAGGGTGTCCCCCGTGCGGCGGCACTGCCACTGCCTGTCCCCCGCAGACATCATGGCTGACAAGGAGGGGGTGACGCTGTCGCTGGAGGAGGAGGAGGAGGAGGATGCCGACGTGGCCCTGGCGTACAAGACGCCGGAGAAGAAGAGCCTGCGGGAGATCCAGGAGCTGGACCCGGGGGACGAGAGCCTGCGGAAGTACAAGCAGGCGCTGCTGGGCGCCATCCCTGCCACCGTGGGTAAGGCCGGGGGCTGCCTGCTGG